CCGCATCTGACCAGATGGTAGGAGATGATTCAGTCAATTGAGAGAGGAACATACTTTTACCATTCCAAGTGGTTAAAAACCTCTTCCACATGCTTAGATCTGCCGTAGCTTGGGCATCTAAGGACAACCTGTGCGTGTCATGTAGAAAAAGTGGGAAAAGATGCAATAGTCGTGAAATAAAGGAGCGGCCTTGAGGTATGATGCGCATTGCAAAATTAAGTGACCCCAGCAGGGACTGTAGTTCTTTGCGGTTGCAAGTGCCGAGCTGTAGGTAGTTGTTTATGTAAGTGAGAATATTCTCTATCTTATCGTATGGTAGGCTTGCTTGCATTGTGGCAGAGTCTAATTGGATACCCAGAAAAGTGATAACCGTGTCTGGCCCTTCTGTTTTCTTTGGGGAGATGGGTACACCTAGTTGCTCAAACAGCTTAGTGGTAGCTTTGAGGCTAGTGGGAGGTGCAGTATTCTCCTCGACCAGTAGGAAATCGTCCAAGTAATGTAATACTGTAGGGCATCCGGCTATGTTCAATAGTAACCAGCATAATGCTTCGGCAAATGTGTCGAAAATAGCTGGGCTACTTTTGGACCCAAAAGTTAACCGGGAGAAAAAATAGTAGTTCTCGGACCACTTGATGCCATGCAGGTGCCACAGTGTGGGGTGGATAGGGAGTAATTTGAAGGCGTTAGTAATGTCGGTCTTACTGAGCCAGGCTCCCACCCCTGCTTGTATGATGGCTGTAATGGCGTGATCTATGGTGGTGTATTGCAGAGAGAATTCCTCAGAGGGTATGAGGGAATTAAGACTGGGGTTGGCCGATGAGTGGGGAGCCGATAAGTCAATGATGAGTCTCTGTTTTTGGGAAGATTTCCCTGTGACAATACCAATAGGGTTGGTGCGCCATTCTGTGAATGGGGGAGTTCTAAAAGGCCCCAATACAAAGCCCTCCTCGACTTCTTGGTTTATGAGGGTGTCAACCACTGTGGGGTTGTGTTGGGCGGATTGTAGGTTTGGGCATTCCAGAGTGCCAGCTGGTATGTGTAGGATACCTGTGTGGAAGCCTTCTGTCAAACCAGAAATAAGAAAATCTACCAGGTGTCTAGATGGGTGCTGAGACATCAATGCTGTGAATACTGGCATATTAATGGACGTAAGGTAAGGCTTAGAATACATTTTATTTGGACACATGGTCTTAGCATGTGCCCTAAAACATTTTGAACAGACATGCAATAGTCTACATCCACTGTAATTACAAGACCCAACATTGAAATTATTACATATCTGGGACTTGCCCAGAAACTTGATTGGGCGTCCCAATTTGTCTGTGGATAGTTTCCCTGGATCCCCAGAGGAACTAGTTCCTTGTGTGGAGGCATGTCCGTCTGCCGTGTTGGGACAAAAATTAGTAGTATGGGCTGTGGAGGAGCAGTATGCACAAGCTGGTGTTCTTAGACCTGCAAAGTGTCTGCAAAATAAGACGGTATCAATCCTTCCCCAGTTGGATCGTGTACCGTACTGGGAGAAGGCTCCAGCCACTTTTGCAGAAAAAGACCTATGGTAGTCATAGAATGCTGAACCACCATATTTGTTGCCCAGGTCTACCAGCTTGTGCATATAGAGATCAAACTCCTCTCTTCTGTTGGGATAAACCGCACAGACGACATCCCTGTAAATACCAAACGCTAGTACAAATTCAGGGATAGTCAGTTTCCTGTTCAGGCGGGCATCCCTAGATCTGACAATAACAGAAACATCATCATAAGCATACGTCTTATGTTCCACAATGTCCTGGGAGGCAATCAACAGGGAAGCCAGGTTGACGTCTTTACCTTCCAGGATATCCCTTTTGATATGCTCAGGTATCATGTGGGCCGGGCTAACTTCCTGGTCATCCAGGGTGCTGGCTGGAGCGACTAATGGCAAGGCTGGTGTTTGTACCGCAGCCGCGGGTGGCCCTGCTAGAGTGAGGGCCGTGGTGACCGACTCAAGTTTCTCCAGCCTGGAGTTGACCTTGCCCATGGATGCCATGAGTGAGGATAACATGGCATGTATGTCCCCTGGGTTGGACTGGCTAGATCCTTCCCCGGCTTCCATGTTATTAGTTGATGTGCGCAGCAGTTTGAAAAGTTCTGCCTTCCTTGCTGTAGCAGGGTAGGGGATTTGTCGTCTCCTTAATTCCGTGGTTATGCGCGGGATTGTCCAGGATCTAATTGATGCTGGACTAGCTAGCTCTCCTCCTTGTGTGGGAGTGACAGCTCTAGCCGGGGTGCTAGGCAGGGAGAAATCCTCTACCCCTTCCTGAGACATACTATAAATAAAACAATAATTAGTATATAGAACCACCAAATTGTACTGGCAGGCTAGCTAGGCCGGATGGCGAAAGTATTATACTTGTTTGGTGACAGGTGAGGCCCTGCTAATTGCCAAGCGGCTTGAGAGGCTCTATCTATGCGTTGGCGCGAGGGGTTATTGAGGCCACTTGACGTAGTGGCAGGAGTTTTAGGCCTCTCGGTGACTGTATGACAGAAAACAGGGGAAGGGAGTGACAGGTGAGGCCCTCTCTATGCAACATGCGAGGCGGCTAGCTAACGTGTGGCCCGATGGGTGTTTGCCTCCGAAACGTTTGAGGCGGGGTGTTGGCCTCGCGGGACCACTAACTGATGGCGACAACCAAGACGGGGTAAATACCTATTGGGAATCCTGTGACCCTATTGCCAGTACTCTAAACTAGGGGGATGAAATAAAATGTATGGTAGAATACCATATGAGCAGGTGTACGTACCTGATAGTATGATAAATCACAGGAATAAACCGTGTGGAGCAATTATATAAGCTTGACAGCCTAAAAATGGGTAAAAGAAAGTAGTACGATGAGTGTGGAGTGTAAAAAGAACCAGACTTATAGTCTGTAGCAGCAATGTATAAAATTATGTTGATACCATGGGAATAGCTATGAGTGGCTCAGAAATGTTTGCATGCTTGAATAAGACATCTGAGGGAGGCCGTGGCCTATGTACAAACAATCTATGTGTTACGTGATAATGGTGTGTAAAGGAAAACATGAAACGTAGGTTATATACATATGTATATGACTGTGTAGGGGACGTATGATTGGTTGGATCAGTACGTGTGATTCAACCCGAGTATGCATGCAAAAGGATTTAAGCCTTATGTGTCATCGTCATGACAGAGAAATGAGGCCTGTAATGTAGGCTGAGTAAATTGAAATGAAATGGATAGTTATAAAACTCCTGGCGTGGGAGTTCAATGATCTGTACCGAAATGTAACTGGTTTTATAGAAAGGGACATGGATGAGGTCATGGCCTAATTAACACAGCGTTATGTATGATATGTAGCAGAATAACCAAAGGCAGGGATACCCCAAAATGATTTAAAATGATGTAAAGTGATGTATATCTATATGATATGTTTGTATAGAAAAGACGTATCAACCCGAGAATTATTGCTTAAATGAACCTATATCCTTTGTATGTGTTGTATTAATAACCCAGAAGTGAGGCATGTAACATAGGCTGAGTCCATTTGTATAAATGGATAAGTAATGCAGACCCCTGAAAGCGTGGGAGTCAAATGGTATATACAGAGAAGTGGACTTGATTTGTGGACGTAACACAATACTGACAATATTTTAAAAGTAATCAAAATCTTTTAAGCAAGCAATTCTTTAACCGAACGTTATATACACATGAAATGGTGAACATAATTCATGAAAGGATTATACGTGAACACACAGAAAAGCCGAAAGCAAATGTGAGGGGAACACAGAAGTTAGAATAGTTTAACCGTATGATTTATGCGAACCAAAAGCGTGTATGAGCGTATGTAAAAATTTGCCGAACGGCAAAACAACCGAATGATAATTTGTTTCAATAACATGAAATAGGATATGCGAAATGACTATTGAACGATTTAAATATGTTCAACCGAATGACCGTACGAATGAAAAGCCCGCGAATGGCTTGAAACATTCGTGTCATAACCAGGGGAAAAGCCGTAAAGCGAGGACCCGTGCTGTACCGTACGCCGTGGGAACCAGTCCTGGCGTGACAGGAAGGTCTGACTTACGGTTTAGGAGTCCCTGGGACGCGATCTACGACGGAGAACGGAGTCAGAAGAAGCTGGACGGGCGGAAAGGCCTGAACAGGATTCCTGGACACAGCTTAACGTGGTGAAACCTCCTGGATACTGAAACCAAGATGGCGTCTGAGAGAACCCGGAAGTGGATCCTCATTCAACGCTGACCTCGAACGGTAAGGAGCCAGGCAAGGGGAGTGCCTTAAGTAGGCTAGGGGTAGCAAACCAGCACCTCCCACAAATGCAGGCAAATTGCCTTAATACTTATAGTGTAGATTGGATTAGCCGTATTAGTCCACTAGACAAGATGCCAAAAACCCATAGTATTACAGTACGCAATGATACCTTTTTTATTGGACTAACATAATATTTAAAAAAGACAATCTTTTGAGAGTTTTCCTCTCTTCTTCAGGTCTGAAGCAATACTGATCAATCTGATAGTTTATCACTTAAAACAACTGATGTTAGAAAAGGGGAGGGAGGAGAACAGCAGAGCAGGGCATTGCAGTATATAGCTGCATATATGTATGATCCTGATGAAGTTCCATATAGGGACTGAAACGTTGATCCCATGTTTTAAACTTGCTAATAAAGAAGAAATTTACTGGAGACTGTGAGACTGTGAGTGCTGCCATCTACTACTATTTGCATATATGCATGTATATAAATTAATCCAATAAAGGTGAAGCGAGAATATTGAAAAAGAACTATATAAGACAGTAAGATGTGTGTTTATATAAAGTTTCGGTAGTGTGTGAGAAAGCCAGAGTCAACATTAAGTCCTTCATTTCTGGTGTTGAAATATGCCATTCTGTGTGAGCATCGTACAGTGCCATTCCGTGTGAGCTTTGTACAGTGCCATTCTGTGTGAGCATCGTACAGTGCCATTCCGTGTGAGCTTCGTACAGTGCCATTCTGTGTGTGCTTCGTACAGTGCCATTCTGTGTGAGCTTCGTACAGTGCCATTCTGTGTGAGCTTTGTACAGTGCCATTCTGTGTGAGCTTCGTACAGTGCCATTCTGTGTGAGCATCGTACAGTGCCATTCCGTGTGAGCTTCGTACAGTGCCATTCCGTGTGAGCTTAGTACAGTGCCATTCTGTGTGAGCTTTGTACAGTGCCATTCTGTGTGAGCTTCGTACAGTGCCATTCTGTGTGAGCTTCGTACAGTGCCATTCCGTGTGAGATTTGTACAGTGCCATTCTGTGTGAGCATCGTATAGTGCCATTCTTTGTGAGCTTCGTACAGTGCCATTCCGTGTGAGCATCGTACAATGCCATTCTGTGTGAGCTTCGTACAGTGCCATTCCGTGTGAGCATCGTACAGTGCCATTCTGTGTGAGCTTCGTACAGTGCCATTCTGTGTGAGCATTGTACAGTGCCATTCCGTGTGAGCATCGTACAGTGCCATTCCGTGTGAGCTTCGTACAGTGCCATTCTGTGTGAGCATCGTACAGTGCCATTCTGTGTGAGCTTCGTACAGTGCCATTCCGTGTGAGCATCGTACAGTGCCATTCTGTGTGAGCTTCGTACAGTGCCATTCTGTGTGAGCTTCGTACAGTGCCATTCTGTGTGAGCATCGTACAGTGCCATTCTGTGTGAGCTTCGTACAGTGCCATTCTGTGTGAGCTTCGTACAGTGCCATTCTGTGTGAGCATCGTACAGTGCCATTCTGTTTGAGCATCGTACAATGCCATTCTGTGTGAGCATCGTGCAGTGCCATTCTGTTTGAGCATCGTACAATGCCATTATGTGTGAGCTTCGTACAGTGCCATTCTGTTTGAGCATCGTACAATGCCATTCTGTGTGAGCATCGTGCAGTGCCATTCCGTTTGAGCATCGTACAATGCCATTCCGTGTGAGCTTCGTACAGTGCCATTCTGTGTGACCTTCGTACAGTGCCATTCTGTGTGTGCTTCGTACAGTGCCATTCCAGTGCCATTCCGTGTGCCTAACCTCTCGTCAATTCCGGCACACTGACTCTTGCTTTCATCAATTGTACATTTATTAATTATACGCCCCATTCATTATCCCGTACACAGATATATATAAACACACACATGCTGTGAGACTGATCCTATACAAAGTTAAATATAAATGATTATTCATACAATGCCTTTATTCTGTACTTATAATATAAAGTGTTTATTCATTAAGACTGGCGGAATATTGACAAGAGAAAGGTTACAGTAAGTAGGTATTGAAAAGAGACACTATCGTCATGTTACATTATTAGAGAGAAGCATTGAAACACAATGTCCGTTCGTTGAACAAGCATTGACTCAGATAACAATGTTCTGTATATAGCGTCTATATCAGTAGGAAGAAAAGGATGAAACTGACACCATTTACTGAACTCAGCTGCCATATGAGCTGAGCCAGGGAATGATTTATTGTGAGAAATGTGAGAAATACTGTGGATATTTTGGCATTGATTTTCAAAAAAAAGTGTGTAATGTACCACGACTGCCTGTTCATTATTTGACGCATACATAGCGCAGTGTACATGTATAAAGCCATGTTTGCCATGTCAGTAAGCGGGCCTCACATTTTATTAGTAATTTGCCGCCCCCCCAGAATTCTGGTTCCTATACCCATGAAAGATTGTCTAAACTGCACACAGCTTATAAAAATACACAATAAACTATTGTTAAATACAATTAAAGCAAGGTTAAGCAATCTCTAATCTGACTCCTGAGAACCTTTCCCATGATGCACCTTTCCCATGATGCACTGCCAGACATAAGGGACGCGGCCCATAGTATTGCGCAGGTTCCTAACCGTGATGTAAAAGGATTTTGTTTATTTATTTGTTTGCTTTATTTTAAGACTGGATTCCCCTTGAGATGCAGAAGACATTTGAAAGGTCTCAGAAATGTCGAAGTCCCCGAGGCCAAGGCAGTTTTTTAAACCATATACTAGCGTTGTCTTACGAATCGTGATATTACGGTAACAAATTACACAATTATACGGGTAAAAGCATAGAGTCATGGCACGGATTCACACCTTGAACCCACGCAGTATAACATACGTAATAGGGAACTATAATGAAAATATAAGATCACAGCTCCCATGGTGCATAGCCCGTCCCTGTTATGTGCTAAAATATGGCACCAGGACAAGAGCTGGCAACTTAATTTCCTCCTCGGGCTGCTACGATGGAATCATAAAATATGATATGGTTAGGGGGACAATATGCTGGCGCTGGGAGTTGTGCTACATTAACACACATTGTCAAAGTTAGCTGTTATTGAGGGAAAGCTCTAATTAGAAAAATATATTTGTTAGTTAATTTGTTCATGTGTTCCTCTATTGTATTACATTATAATCTTCCACTTTGCCATCGCTACTAAACTACTAGTAATCCATTGCAGAGACAGACTCCTCCCTGCAGCCCAGTCCTACTGATCCATAATTACTGAGGACACACAGCGCATGCACGGGTATCACTGCACTCTGCATATTCAGTGCTTTGCAGATGTTACGGTACCTCCAGTAATAAAATGCACAAACCGCCGTTTAGCGAGTATTCCCCGTTCGCAATAATGTGGTCGGGTAGCGGGTATAATAAAACCATGCGAACCGCCAGCCAGGGAACACTCCAAACTCCCAAACGGTACCTGTACGGCTAATTCCCTTCACGAGCTGCAAATCCACGAACGGCAAATAGTAACCGAACGTCAATGTCTCCCAAGCGGCAAATAATCAAAATAAGTAGTCGCTAGTCGCTGGTAACCAAATCCCCCCAATAACGAGACCAAGCTACGCTTTGAGGGTAAAACACGAACTGATTTACTGTGGGCTACCTGCCCGGTATTTATGCAGGTCTCCCACCTGGTGGACACTCCCCTAGGGGACCAAATGGGAGACTGAAATTACAGAAGGACATGGGGACATTTTGGACATACATCCCCACAATATTCCCAGCATGCAGTACAGTTCCCTCCCCTCTGCTCGTGGGATAATTGGGAAGTAACTCAATTATCTCCCCGAGCAGAGGCAATCGCCATTTTAAATACAAGTCACAAAAACACATGAAAATCTATAACTTCATAACTGCCGAACATATTACATTCGGATTACATATCCCCAGATAGCCTGGATCTGAGTGCACATTATTGGAGAATAGCGCTCAGATCCCATTCGCACAGTTCAATCGCCATGGAGTCATAGTCTCTTTTAGTTCTTCGGTATGCGATTGACTCCATGGGACGGCTATCTGGGTTAAGTCCATTCGTGTGGTTGAATCTCCCGAACGACTGGCATTCGTATACTTTTGTCGATTGAGAAGGGGAGGTCGACGGCTTCAGCGGTGTTCGGCTGAAAAAGTGTCCGTTTTCAGATCCATGAAATAATCATCGAACACCGCTGGTCGTTCGCATGGACAAAATGGCCGCCGCCTCGTGGTCGACATACGAACGACGACCACCCGGCATTCGGTTTTAATTGAGAAGTGTCTGTGGTTAACCGCAACGTTCTAATTGGGATCAATAGGTTAACCAGCAGCACACTTCTCTTCTGGGTGGCCGTCCGTTCGGTAGTTCCGTTCGACAAAAACAGACATTCCCTTGAATAAAGCATACGAATGGGGAAATTCATGTAACCGGCAGAACAGGCGAACAAAGCATTTGTAATCCAGACAGATGGGTCTGTCACAGCAGACTTTATATAAATTCAATAATTGTGTCTGGAATCCCCAGTGCCTGTCTGTGGTGGAACCAACCTCGCCACTGGCCACTGGAGGAGCCTGGTCGCCCGCCTCCTGCTGCTGGACTATGGCCCCATGTTTAACACTGTTCTTTTTACCTGCAGAAAGGCTGGTTCGTGCCTTTCTGCAGACTGTTAAAGTCACGAACACCGCTGAGCCGCCGACCTCCCTTCTCCTACCTGCAGTCAATTATCCGAACAATGGTCCATTCGGTACTTTACTGTTTAACCCATGCTACCCCAGATAGCTATGCCATGGAGCCCAGCCGTATACTGAAAGACTGTATGAAAGACTTTGGCTCCATGGCGATTGAACTGTATGTATGTGATCTGAGCGCCATCCGGTAGTAATGTGCGCTCAGATCTAAGATATCTGGGGATAGGTAGAATGTGTATGTTCTATGTGATAAATGTAACAGCATGTAATTTTATGTATTTTATTGTCCTTTGTCTGCCATGTGGTTAATGGAGTTTTGCCTCTGTCCTTGGAGATAATTGGATTACTTCCCAATTACCTCCAGGACAGAGAGGAGGGATTGTGATGCATTGTGGGATTGTAAGCTTGTGATTGGTCAATGTCCAATATGTTTCCCAGTCTTCCATCTGGTCCCCTAGGGGAGTGTCCACCAGGTGGGAGACCTGCATAAAAGCCGGGCAGGTAGCCCCAGTAAATCAGTTCTGCTTGACCCTCAAACAAAGTGTCGTCTCGTTCTTGGGGGGAATTGGATTGTATGCTGTTACAGTGCGACTGCCAGGAGTGTAAGCTGTTCGTATGGTTTTTCCTGTTCGGCTGCTTACAGCATTCATGTGTTTCCTGTTCGGGAGTTTGTAGCATTCCCCTGGTTCCAGTTCAGGAGATTGGTGAATTCATGTGTTTGCAGTTCGGGAGATTGGTGATTGCAGTAGCTGTCTGTGCATCTGAAAAGGGGAATATCGCTTAAACGGTTTTTAACCTCTTGTGTGCAAAATGGACCGTTGCACTGTCTATCTGACAGTTACAAGTAGGAGAGCAAATTGCAAAACGTAAACAGTGACATTTCTCAGAAATTCTGAAAAGCTGATGGGGCAACAAGTAGGCCAAAAAATGACTTATTTAAGATGTACTGAATTTGGTGCTTAGACTGTCCGTCTACGTGATTCTTATCTAGCCCTTAGGCCCTTCAACTAATCCTGGTAAAAGAATTGATTGAGTAACAAACCCTGTTGCTGGTGAACCAATACAAAGTTATTGCCTATGTATCCATTCCACAAATCCATCCCTATAAACGCAACCCTTTATATTATTGAAGTAGACAGCATTGTTGTATAATAAAGGACCTACACATTTTTTTCTTTTGATTAATCTTGGACATATTCCATTAAGTTTGAAAAATGGGGTAGAGATTCAGAGAAGGGTCAAGCACCCCTAACGCGTTTCACAGTAGGTGCTTAATCATATGCATCACTAAGTATTCCAATAAGTTTTACCTTAAAGGATCTTTGGCAAAATAAATGAAAAGCTGCGAGTATAAGTCCTGGTATGGAAGAGTGTATATCGGAATATAAATAGCATCTATTTGCGAAAGTCTAAACTTTACTCTAGTAAATCCACTCATCTCAATTTGCAGATCGACACAAAGTGATTATATTGTTTTGTAAAACCTCCCTGAACGCATGCAGAGTAAACTCAACAGATTGAATAATTATTTCTCGAGGAAGCGGAATTACACACAGTGTTTACCCATCGGACTGGGATACACAGAACACAACAGGGAATTCTCCTGGGCTGCTGCTTAGAGAACTAAGTGGACCTTAGACAGAAATGATTACATACAAATCAATACTGTGATATCAGAGTAACGAATAGTGCTTCATCTAGACAAATGCATTGGGCAGTGGTTTACGAGTTAACTAGCAGAATACATAACATAATCATATAGCTGTAGGCCCAGGGCATCAGCAAGGGATTCTCTTCAATAATGTTATGGTTATTATATCTATCCATCTGCATTGATAGACAGACAGACAGATAGATAGATGGACAGACAGAGAGACAGATAGATAGTAAGACGGATGGATGCAGAGACAGATAGATGATTGATTGATAGATAGATAGATAGATAGATAGTAAGACGGATAGATAGACAGATAGATAGATAACTAGACAATCAGGCAGCTCACTCGTAAATTCATGTTCCCATTCACTGATTGTAGACACCAGCACTCACA